AACAAGCCAACTACGATTTATATCATATCGTATAAATTTGAGAGACAAGCAAGCCCCAGTTTACTAAAAATGCAAAAATAATATAGACATAAACAAACGCAAAAAACAAATCTACAATATTGATGAAAAGAAAATTATATTAAACATCAAAGGTCATTCAGGACCAAGTTGTTTGCATAATCCAAGATAATTAGGATAAACAACTCGATCCTTGGCTCCGGTCCTATTATTTTTTGTATACTTGCAGAAGTATTTCAGCTCGGAAAGTTTGCAACATCCCAGCATCTGTCCCAACAGCAAAAACAGCCAGTTGATCTCCCTTTTCTTGGGAATAACTGGTTTCAAAACGTTCCCACATGTCTCGCAACTATCAAGCCTCGGATTCATCCAAGAAGTCGGTGCTCGATCATGCATTGTTAACCTGTTGGCTGATACAAAATCTTTAATCTCCTTAAACTTTTCTTCCAAGTTGTATTCAATCTTGTATTTTTCCTGGCACCCTTAGCATTCAACATCACCACTGATCATGGTCATGCCATGAGATAATAGATGGTTAAGATTATGAACCGTGGCTCGTCGAGTGGTAGCCCATGGATATGGTGCAGCCATGGTTTCACTTTTCCCTCGTTTGGGTGTCTGAAACGGACTTCTTCAAACACTGGGTTGGTAATGGGCAGAGCCAGTAACCCTCTCCACTTGACCGACTGGGTCAGGGTTAGGGCTAGGTCTAGGAGAAGGTAAGCGTGAGGATGGCCGTGGCGGCTCTATTGAAAGAGAAAGATCAAGCAGTTCTTGATGGTATTCTTGATCTCCATCAAAGAAATGGGAAAACAAAGGTTTTCTAGAGTTAGGATTGCTCGTAAAGGAATCATGATTATGGTGATTAATGGAAGGTAAGGGAGATGAAGATTGCCTTGGCGCCCCTATTGAAAGAGAAAGATGAAGGAGTTCCTCACGTCCTTCTACTTCAGTAAAACGTTGGAAAAAGATACGGTTTGACTCCATATATGAAAAAAAAAAAAAAACTGTTGGACAATTTCAAAAAAGAAAAATAAAAGATTATTGAGAAGAGTGAAGGGTTGATAGGAGAAAATTGCGAAGCAAATAACGAAGGGAAATATATGTTTGTATATATATGAAAAAAAAAAAACCTAATTCTAGCTGTCTTAGGAAAAATATTAGAAATTTGAATTGGATTAGTGCTATTACTTATCAGGACACTTTATATGTATATAAATATATATATATATATATATATATATATATACATATAATGAGTTGAATTGACTTTTATCTCTTCTTTATTATTATTATTATATTATTATTACTAAATTCTATATGTTAATGCTTTTTAATTATTAACTTGATTATTAAAAAAATAAAGTTAAGAGTGATATGTTACTAGAAATTGGAATTGGATTAGGGTTATTACAACTTGTAAATAATTTATATTTTATGTTTGAAAATAATATTTATATCAACGCAATCAACTTTTGTTAACAATCATTTTTTATTTAAAAAGATAATCAATATAAAAAATATATTATTAAACAAATTGCTTGAGACTTTGGTTTAATGACAAGGAGAAAATCTTAAAGATTGTAGATTCAAGTTTTGTTGTGTGTGAATTTGATTTTTTAGTTAAATTATAATTTAATAATTAATTATTCAGTGATGTAATTATTGATTATTCAGTTAATTATATAGATGTAATACTTGATTATGAGAATACTTTTAAAAAAAATCAAATAATAACTCCTAAATTACAACATCCTTATTAAAAAAATTTCATATAAATAGAATAACTTAAAAAAGAGTAATTGTGTATATAGTTATAATTATTTAAATGCTATTAACTTTTATTCTTTATTGTAAGAATTAATTTTGTGTTGATCATACAGTTTTTATATATAGATGATTTTTTATTTATTTTACCATAATAATTATTTATTATTTATTTTATATTTCAGCTTCTTTTTTATGTCTTACTTTCTCTCAAATTGTAAGACAAAACAAATCGTAAAGTCAAAAGAACTACGAAAGGTCAAAAATGCTTTTTAAAATTAAAATTGAAAAAAAATGACACATGTAACAGTAAATCAAAAAGATTGTCCAACACTCAAGTAAAGTATATTTGTTTTTACAAGTTGAACACTATCTTTGATTAGAAAAGAAAAATTAAGAAAAATATCATGCGGTCGGTTTTGAATTTGGAACTTTATCACCAAAGCATCATCAAATATCCATGTGATAAATTCCAGCGTTTGGTATTTTTATAAAATTATCATGATAATGTAATTATTTGGATGATCTTATTACTAAGATGATTTTAATATTCGTGATTTAAAATTATTTTATTTGATTAATAATAATTAATTCTTAAAAATTAAAAATCACTATATTTGGTTTACTAAAAATCAAATATTATTTATTTAAAAGTATGAAAATAATTATGCATATTGTAATAGTTACATAAATTAATAAATTTATGATTATTTAAAGATAGTAATTGATAAAATATTAGTAGTATTTATTTATTTTATAATAAAATATAATTAACTTATTAAATTAATAAATATATATATTGATAGGTAAATTTATTTTTATAATATACATTATGAAAAAAATATTTAAATTAAAAAATGAAACTAATCTATTAAATTCATAATAAAAGAAAAATAAAAAATTATATTATATATAAAATATTAAAAAAAGTAAAAAAATATACAAATTATTTTAAATTTGTTATAATGAATATTAGTTTGAAAATATAAATATTTATAATATAAAAAAATTACAATATTGAGATGTAGCAAGTTTTTAATTTATATATTAAATGGGTAAAATTGATTATTGTTAATTTTACATAACACTTTACTTTGATGATAAAGGCTTTCTACATTTTTGTATGGGAATTCGTTCACCCTCTAATGTAGTGATTTAATTACTTTCAACAATCCAAGAAACCACCCCTATGTAGAATCATTAAGTGCTTACCAAATATAATAATCTAATTATTATATGTAAATTATCATAATTTTTAAAGTGATCACCTATACCAAATACTACCTTATTGAATTTTTGTTTCTATAGATGGAGTTGTTTTGCTAAGATTTCTCATTAAGCAATTATTAGTTATCACACACTATAAAATATTACATGATTGCAATAAACAAATTTACTTCATCTTTGATTCCAACATAAGAATTTAGTTACAATAATAAAAAAAAAACTATTTAATTTTTATTATTTTATTTAAGTAAACATTTTATACTTTAATGCACTCAAATAAGTTTTTAACATTTAATTTGCACCTAAATAGACCTTAACCTTTAATTTGTATCCAAATTAACCCTTAACTTTTAATTTATACATAAACAAATATTTTAACATAAATCAATATTTTGTTTGAAATAATGATTTATTTAGATACAAATCAAAAGATAAAGACTTACTTAAATATAATAAAAATATAAGAGATTATATAAAAAATTTGAAATAATTCAAAAAATTTTTTAATATTTTAACCTACAAAATTTTGCCAACATTAAATGGTGATTATTATTTTTATTACATATGAAAAAGGTCGTAATTTGAAAATAAAAAAAAAAGTTATAGATATTGAAATTTAAATCCTAAGCTTATTGAATGTTATCTATTAAAATTGTTTGCATGGACCAATAAAATTAAACTCTAAATTTTATTATTATTATTATTATTATTATTGATATTGGATAATTTAAATTAACTTGGAAAATATAAAAAAAAAAGTTTACAATCATTCATTGGGTTGGACTAGTTAGGTTTTATTAATTAGCTTGGGCCATGTGTTGTATATTGACTTTCTAGCAGACTATTTACTTTTGAGTGTGACAGAACTTGCAAATTGGGCTCGCTAAGGCCCAATTAACATGGTAATGCAATGCAAGGCAGTGAGGCAGTTGCGGTAGAAAAAAATGTCGACCATTTTTAACCCACAGGCAGAAGCAAAAGGCCTCTCTAGAGGATGTTCCCTTTTAAAGTAAGACACTGCTAACCTATTATTTTAAGCATGTGCTGCAACTTCTCTTTATTAGTCAGCATCAACGAATTTTGTTTTTACAGCAATTTCTTTTTATGAATTAATGCATTTTATTTTGATGAAATTAATGATAGTAAACTATAATCCATTGCGTTTTGAATTTTATGATTTCTTGTTCTTTGCCTCTCGTTTTAAAAGAAAAAGAAAAGAAGGGAAAAAGCGTATCAGGTATGATACTTTTCATTCATGCAATTCCTTTCATTGCAACTGTTGTTTTTATATTTTACCAAGTTACAATGGATTAAAAGAAGGATTCTTTTTTTTAACAGAAAAAACTATAGGCTGGAGATATGGCAAGGGTTGACGAGAATTGGGACCAAAGAAGGCCCACTAGTCTTCTACAAAGCAATGTGTAAAAGATGAGCAGATAGTTGAGTGAACCAATTGTTGCCAGAAAGAGTGTCCATTGGCTTTTCTTTTCTGCTTTTTTTTCACCACCTGAAATTTGTATTTTCCCCAAGCTCCATTACCAGTTTGCAGAAAGTGGAACTGGGTCTGATGACAGATACTTCGATGCTTACGTAATTCTTTACTCTTTGTTTGCTTCCTTGTGAAGTTCTCAATGGAAATCTACTGTATTTTTCCCTGGTTAAAACAGCTAAAGATATTGAAACTTGTATCAAGGAAATGGCCTTTAGTCTGTAACCAACATTCTTCACGAACTCCTAAACAAAATTCAGGTGAACTGTTTAATTGATTAGTTATGCTAAAATCAAAAAGGGAATATGTTGTTGGGAAGCTCAAAGGGACGGCAGTAATGGTGGGCAAAACCATAGGCAACAAAGTGAGAGAATGGGCCATGGTTTAAGCAGATCTTTTAGTAGTTGTAAATGCCTAAGAGATGCTACCCTTTTTCCCGAAATCGAAATGAAAGAGCCCCTTGAAACATAGTTAGCAAAAGAGAACCAATTGACTTTCCCACTATTTTTTTTTACTTTGTTATGAGCAACAGAGATTCTGATTCGGCTAACAATACCAAGTTCCATGTACAAACTAAATGATCAGTTTCAAAATCAAAAGTAGTCTAATTTCTTTAGATTTTTTCTTCAAAGTCCTAATAAGATTGCTGCTTGGTTATCATTTCTTGGTTGCTAAATTGTTTGAGGCAAGAGCTGATGATGCAGATGAAGCAGACATGGCAGATGTCCAAAATTGTGCACTCTTCACCTTTGACACACTAGCCAGGACTCCTAATGGTGTTACATCTCCAACAATGGTCACCTTCTTTGCTGCAAAGTCAATGCTGAAGGATGTCACACCTGATCAAATCATTAAAAAAAAAAAAGTTCTTTGTAAATTATGATGTGAACTGTAATTAATGAAGTGTAAAAAGAGATGAATTTAGATTACATCTCTTTATCTATAAATAGGTAGAATGTAAAGGACAGTAACAAAGGTTGTGAAAAAATAGTGACAGTCTTGAAATTTTGGTTAAACCATAGACTAAAGGAGATGACAAGTGACAGTGATACATACCTTCCATTCTAGATAGATGTTTCCTCACTTTTCCTTCACAGCCTTTGCAGTGTAGTGACACCCTTAAAACCACAACCTGAAAGCAAATTGATTGAAAAATTAGAAATTACAAGTTTTAAAGTTTACAGCCGCCCCTGGCCTGTAAAAGTTGAAGATTTAGCTGCAAATTGATCTTTCCAGGGACTATACAAGATTGAAAGTCCACCTAAAATTTGATATTGATAAATGGAACAGGGAAAGAGGAAACCTGTTCTGCAGAAGGCTTCTCTGAGCGAGAGGAAGAGGGTTTTGAAACAATGGATTGGTCTTGTTTTATAGCTTGAATATTCTTTGTTTCAGCAGGAACCAATGCCCAAACTGGATCACAATCCGATATTCCATCGAAAAATGCAGAGTCACCCAAGAGATATCTGGAAGAGCCAGGAGGGGTTACAAAATCAATTGGCTTGGCAAAACTCTTCCTGCCAGTATCTGCATCTTTAATGTCAGAAGTGCTTTTCCTGCTAACCAAATCAATTGGCTTCAATGAACTGTTCTTATGATCACTGGACTTGGCTGAAACTGCAGAAGTACTCTTCTGTGTATGATCATAATTTGACTTGGTTGAAGACCTTTTCTCATTCTTCCTAAGCTGATGGTAAGGTAAAGGATTGATTGGCAGTGGCTGAGATGTAGAAGGGTTGGAAGGCAGAGTTCTGGTGAATCTTTTGGCGTCTCTAATGATGGGGTTGTGGCGATCGATGGCTCGGCCACCAAGTTGAATGGTGGATGCCGAGGAAGAAGAGGATGATGAGGCTTCATTCATGCTCAAACATATGGCTGTGGAAGCTTGGGATGCACAGAAAATATCCATTCGTTTCATCTTTGTTGAGGTTTGGATAGTGATAGCACTGAAGGATAACTAGTGGTTTAGAGAATCTGCATAAGAAGAGAGAGAAAGAGAGAGCAACTTTTGAAAGAAGGTTGGCTGTTTTGCTTTTATGCTCAAGTTCTTGACTTTTTGTTTAGAGAGCGAGAGAGAGAGAAGAGAGTTAAAGATTACATGCAAAAGAAAAGAAAAAGAAAGAGAATATATCATGGAATACCAAATGAGAGTGGATTGTATTTGTAGAAGTTTCTGTAATCAAAACTCCACATTTTGAAAAACCTTTCTAAAGGAATATTTTGCCACATCACACAAAAATGTTGAAATTGATATAATTTTCCAATTTATATTGTTTTTTGGGGTTGATTTGCTAGAGATTAGAGTCAGATAATTGGATTGAAAAGGTGTGTACTACAATTTTTTTTAACACTACTGTTATATCTATACACTTCAAATTACAACTTTGCTTATGAATAAATTATAAATGAGATCAAAATTTCCTGCCAAGATATGAGATTTAGCAAAATTATATGATTTCACTAGGAATGAAAAGATAGAATAGCAGAATCTGATCTTCAATAGGTGCAACCAACTTTTCTGTGGTGTTAAATTTCAATGGATGAAAAAGGATTAATGCAGATAGCTGGCTTGTTCTTCTATGAGAAATTTCAAATCTGTAGCTCTAACTTTGGGTTAGATACTAAGGCCTTTGAGGAAGTACTTTCCGGTCTTTCTTTGAATAAGCATTATTTGCACCTCTCTTGTACAAAGAAGGCTGTGTAACTTAGGGACATAGGATTTGAATTTTATATCTGTTATACGTCACTTTTTAAAAATAACAGCATGAATTTAACTGAACTAAGCTTTGGGTTCACCTTTCTGCACTTTGTTCCATGGATGTGTTTGCTCTACCGGGAATTATTTGTAGTACGTTCTAATATAAATGTTCTTTTCAAATTATGGCTCCATCTTTGTACTAATCCATTTTTTTTAATCTAGAGATTAACAAGAACAGATGCGCAAAACTAGCACAAATGATTCTGATAATTATAGTCAATTACTACTACTTTGACATATAATAAGTAATTAGATCCAATTCTTGGAGAAAACGAAGAGTTCACGCGACATAAGCATATGAAACATGGCCACCTGGCTATAAACTATTGTTTAACCATAAAATTTCATCTCTTTTGACAGAAACATAAAAGTCTTTTTCTGCAAAAATTAGTCTGTATTCTCTGTTGGCTAGGTGGGCGATGGCCTACTTATCAGTCTATTTGTCTGTGAAGTCAAGTTTTTGAAAGGAAAGCATAAGGTTCATATGAGACAGAGCAACGGTTAAATTGTCAACAACCAGGTTGCTATATAATGCTACATTTATTGACAAGGCAGGACACTTAAGAGCAAGATCATGGTTATTACATTAATTTCTGTCTATTTTTGGTGTCTACAGGCTATTAATCAAAATCCCACATGTTTTTCCTTTGATTAGAAAATGGGAAATGACTCTACTTGCGGTTGGTATAAAACACCAATGAGTGTAATAATTGGTCATTTTAACCTGTAGTTTTAATTGTAAGGATTGTTAAACTGCGTCCGCTAGGAGGTCTTGATAGGAAAAGGCAGTAAATAACAATCCATTTGAAAACCAACAGCATTGAAAGAGTGTCTGTACCTGAATTCTTATTCTGGTACATAGTTACTTGCTTGTGATTTATCAAAAGAAAATCATAATTCATGAGGCAGTTGAGGAAGAATTAAAACTCTAGTGGTCCAAGGAAACCAGGGCTTAGAAGTTAAGAGTGTTTGAATTGTTATTTAAAACCAAGCAGAAAAAAGCAAAGGGAGAACGCCCTGCCCCCCAATTACAGATGCAAACGCTCGTAGCAGTAACACATCAGGGGCAGGCTAGTTGTTCCTGCAATACACAATTATTATGGAACCTATAACATTAATGATTTTATTCATATTCTTATAGAATATATGCTGCCAGATAAAAGAAAAAACCTTAGGAATTTTTTTTTTAAAGCTGTAGATGATGGATGAGACACAAAGCCACGTTCTTATCTCAAATTCTCCTTCACAAAAATAATGGAATCGGATGCTTCGAAATGGCTTTTCTTTTCTTCTTTTTCTTTTCCTCCTCCTATATCCTAATTGCCAAATGCCAACCCCTTCGGCTTTGGACCAATTAAAGAGTTTTCATATATTGACCAGCTCATTTCTCTTTTCCTTGCCAGTGGAATGGGAAGTAATTGAGGGTCCCTTTGCTTATTGATCAGCCATCTTTTCCCTTGCCATGAACCAGCTATTTCTTCCACCTCTCTTTTCTTTTTTCTTTTCTTTTCACGGTCATAAACTTCTGATTATGCCCACAGATATGTATGTATGTCTTTCTTTTAGACATTTAAATCCAAGTGCTTATCATTTGACAATTTTGCTTTACATTGAAATTGTTGCACTACATCCTACCAAAAAAAAAAAAATAGAAATTGTTGTACTACATTTACCTAACGCCCATGTTTTATCTAAGTTTAAACCAATCTCGACAATTCCATAATATATAGGAAGTGGGGGAGATTTTGGAAGTTGTTGGCCAACAAAATCCTATTTACCGCATTTTTGTTTATGGTGATGGCTAGCCTGAATTGATTTAACCTAAATTTGATAATTCTTATCCGTAGTATTAAAGAATTGAAAACTTTTTTGGATTTTTTGGATTTTTTGTGAGGGATATATGGTCGGAATTGCAATTGTCCCAACTCCCAATAAAATATTGAGGCTTTGGGCATGAACAATGCAAGGCCTGTTCTTTTCTTTGGGGTTGGACATAGCATGACTTGAGCTATTATTCAACTTGGTATCCAAAAAATGGATGTCGGTGGAACAGCTACCATACTTTTTTGAAGAGAAAAATCTAATTATCAACCAATAACTTTGATTAGAAAAAGAAAACCCTAACTAAGAACTGAAGAAATTTGTCAAATGAAATGGTTTGGGCACACCAATTATAACTTTCCTTTTTTATTCATTGATCCCCGAACCCAAGTGTCCCCTGTTTGAGACCATGCCTTTTTTTATTGCAATTTTCAACTTTCCTTTCACAAGTAAACACCAAAAAGAGACGAGATACATATGTATTCTCAATGGTGAAGATTTTGGTTGGATTGTGCCAAAGGTATTCGAAACTTATCGAATTTTACATTAGCATAACTTCAATTAATTTAGGGTTTCCTTTCGCTTTTACTTGTTGTGAAAGATAATCTTTCGTAGGCATTTGGGAATCTAACTCTACCAAAGCTTATACATTATTGTAAAATAAAAAATATATATAGTAAAACTTATAACATGGAACATTTTTGCAAAAATAGCAAATTGATGGGATCTTTAACTTTGGACAAGACTGACCCAATTGAAGCCCAAATAAAAGTTACCGCCTTTTGCCCTTTTGCCATGTAATGGACTAAAAGCATTTACCAGAAAGCCGATATATCCGCAATTCTTCTTGGCGATATCACCCAACCTGACTTTGGGATGACCAGACCATATCCATTGGCCCATCCCCCCTTTTCCCCTTAAATTTTTACCTTCCCCAAAATGTAAAAACAAGAAAGATGAACCGCAGGAAAACATTGAAAAATGAAGCTATATATATATATATATATATATATATATATATATAAATTTTGCTAGAACTTAGGAAGAATAACATACAAATGAGCCAATCAACCCAATCAAAGCCCAAGTGAAGCCTTTGAAAAGGCATGATCAACCAATCAGCACCAAGAAGATGAACATTCAACTTCCGCCAGACCACCAAAGAACCAAAGGCCAAAGGGCAAGACTAAAAACCATAACAGTATCTATCCAATTACTCGGTTAGAACTGATTATCATAAAAAGAAGGAACAACAGATCTTCCTATAGAGTGGTTGAACTGATAAATTTCCAGGTAATGTATAACAAGGATGATAATAATAAAATGAATTGACAAAATAGAGCTGCTCTTCACACTATACATACTTGTTCCACTATTTCTTTTTCAGTTAAGCTCCTTTACTTTCATCTTCATTCAAAATGCGATTCCGGAAATCACTCACCATAAGAGGCAACCCATCTCTTAGAGAGATTTTTGGCTCCCAGTTCAGCAGCTCCTTTGCTTTGCTGATATCCGGTTTCCTCATTTGTGGATCATCTGCAGTATTTGGTTTATATTCTATGGTTGCACTTGGATCAATTGTTTCTTTCACAACCTGAAGGTTAGGTGGAATATGAATTTGGAAGGCCTCCATAAGATTCAGATAAACTTAACAGAAAGCAAAATGCGTTCAAGAAGGCAAACCTCAGCCAATTCAAGCATAGTGAACTCTCCTGGGTTGCCCAGATTAAAAGGCCCTATGTGCTCACCTTCCATTAAAGCAACAAGTCCATCCACCTGTCATTCATGAGAGTATGAAATCATCTTCAATTGTATTATTCACATGCCCTTCTTAACTTCCCAATTGCCTGACTGCTAACTATTCAAGTAAAAGAAATTCTATAACTAGTTTTTACTTCCTCACTCTAATCGAAATGACAAAATTACTGAACTTCTTTCCACTTCACTCGTATCTCCAGTATTTACAATTCAACTGACAACAAAAATGCTTCAGTCATTCTGCATTTTCAGAAGCCACCAAGAAAAAGGCAGCATATGAAAAGTACTTAAGATAATAACCAAGCATACCAAATCAGAAACATATTGGAAGCTACGTGTTTGTTTCCCATCACCATAAACAGTCATCGGTTGCTGCCGAATGGCCTGAGACACAAAGCTACAGTTATTAGAAAATGTTATATAATCCAAATCTCAACTGATTTCTTTACATGAACGCCACAAAATATTAGAAGGATGCTACACCTGAGCAACAAAATTGCTAACAACACGTCCATCATCTAAGCACATGCGAGGCCCATAAGTGTTGAAAATACGAGCAATTCGCACCTGCAAACAGCAAATACCATCATTTGATCATCACAGGTAGAATACCTTTCCCATAACATATGACCTTTTTTTATCTCCTTTTCAAATACATTATTTATTAATAATATTCACATAAAAAATTGTGTAGTACACGAGAACCAGAAGGCATTAAATTGTGAAGATGCATACTCCTGTCATGGTCAAATGACAGTTAATCTTTTAGGTTTTGACTAAAGATTAGATGATCAGTTCAAAGTTACAATTGAAGTGATGCTAAATTGTACTTACTAAGATTCTAAGATGCCAGTAAAATGACGATAAACTGGACTGTCAATGACATGGGATTATTAAAAGCAGACATTACTATAAAAATTACAACATGATAGTTTTTAGAGCAGGTGCTGAATATCCTATTATCTTCTAAATAAATCAAGCATTACAACATTGTTCAAGCGCAAGTAAAGATACAAAAAAACATACCTCAACACCTGCACCTCGATGATAATCCATGGTTAAGGTTTCAGCCGTCCTTTTTCCTTCATCATAGCAACTCCTCTCGCCTAATCACATTCAACAAAACAATAAAATTAGACAACATAAAACAAAGAAGAGCAACCAAAAAAAAAAAAAAATGGTTGCATCGTTACTAGCTCCTTACCAATTGGATTGACATTTCCCCAATAGGTTTCTTTCTGTGGATGCTGAAGCGGATCACCATAAACCTCACTGGTGCTCGTGAGCAAAAACCTCGCCCCAATTCTCTTTGCAAGCCCCAACATATTAAGAGTACCCATCACATTTGTCTTGTAAACTCGCCAAGTCAAGGATCTCAAATAAGCATCATCCAACCAAACACGAAAACCCATTCAATCCAAAAAATCAACAAACATAAAAATCTAAAAAAAGATACCAAATACTAATGAGAAATTGACATAAATTATTGTAAAGGATATGATGGTCTTGACAGGATTATATTTATAATGAACCGGAGAAGCAGGGCAAGCTAAATGATAGATCTGATCCACTTCTAAGAGAATTGGTTCGACGACGTCGTGTCGAATGAGTTCGAACCTCGGATTCCCGAAAAGATGAGCCACATTCTCTTTCCTTCCAGTGAAGAAATTATCAATAACAATCACTTCATCGCCTCTTCCAATTAGCTTATCAACAAGATGACTCCCGACGAACCCAGCCCCACCCGTGACCACGATCCTCATTCTCCGCCGTCCGATCCCAACAGGGACCCGACCCACCTTGCTATGGATAGGCCTGTTGGAATGGGAGGAATAGGAACCAGAGAAGTCCTGGGTGTGGGAAACGACGGCGGCGGCGTCTGTGGAGAAAGATATGGGGATTGAAGAACGGGCATCGGTTGGGCCTAAGCGAGAGAGATTAGGCTGGAGGATGAAGAAAGTGGAGCCAATTAAAATGCCGACGAGGATAAAGAGAAGTCGTTGTTCTTTGAAGAGATATTTAATGGATCTAGGGAGAGATCTGGGGTGTTTTAAGGATTTGGGTGAGTAAGGAGGTGTTTGGGTTGAAGGTATCTCCTCATCTCGCCTATGGTTCACGCTTGATTGCTTGTGTAACTGTTTCATGGCTTAATTGTCTTGGTCTACGATGGAAATTGAATGAGTGAATGAAGTATCTTTTCTTCAGCTATTGTTTTTGTTGGCGTTTTTTTTTTTTTTTTTTAATTATTATGGGGTTGGAGGAGTGAAGCTGAAGTCGAAACTGGGAAGCCTGAAACACACTTCAATTCATTGTTTTTTAGCCCAAAAAACTAAAAATGAAGAGAGAGCATGAGATAGAAGGAGGGAGATAGGAGAGGGGAGGGTCGTTTTCTTTCAAAGTAGTTATGACAGGACAGCACGGTACAGCAAGAGATGAAGTAATTTGAAAGAGAATTGGTTTTGTATTCTAGTGGATACGCAGACAAAATACGCTCCATGCTCCCACACTGTGTACTATGTTTCTACGTCTGAATTTAATCTTCATTTTAATGATCATGTTTACGTCGGATTCGTATTTCCTCGTCAATAAAAAAGATTGCTTGATAGCCAAAATTAAACCTAAACTTTAAAAATGAAATAATTCAATCTTTACTGGCTCTATTAATTCCTATAGGTAAATGTGTGAAAATGATAGATGGCCTTAAGTTTACATTTACTAACAATAACATCATGGAACAAAATTTGACATAAATTTTAACCTACTATTTATAAAATGATGGTCCAATTTAAATTAAAACCAAAATTTTCCCTCTCCAATAAACCGTCCAACTCTTAAAAAATGGTGTTGAAAATTTGAAATTAGTAGCAAAATAATTTTATAAGTTGTTTCCTAGTTGAACATTATCCTGATAATTTTAATTTTTTAAAAAAATTAAACGTTATCAATCGGCCTAAAAGAACCTTTGGGCAAAAAATTATAGCCCAAATTAAGAAACGCCCACCAAATTGCAAGGCTCCAAATCCAAACCTTTTAATTTGTCTTCGCAGTCGACATATCAAAGCTTTACCTCCAATTTCTAGGGTTTCAGCGAGAGGAGCGCAGCCGCGGCAGCAAGCTCACAATGGGTAAGAGAAACAAGAATAAATTCAGTTCCTTTTCAATTTCAAAGAGATTTTTAATGGCTAATTGTTTGTAATTTGTTTCTTTTTTTGGTTGGGAAGCGAGGATAAAGGTTCACGAGTTGAGGAACAAGTCGAAGGCAGAACTGTTAAGCCAATTGAAGGACTTGAAAGCAGAGCTTGCTCTCCTCCGAGTTGCTAAAGTCACCGGCGGTGCCCCTAACAAGCTTTCCAAGATGTGAGAAATTTCCCATTTTACCCTCTCCTTTGCTTCAATTTTCCAACTTACATATATAGATTTAGATCCTGAAATGTATGATTTTTTTTTCTTCTTTTTAACGTGCAGAAAAGTTGTGAGGTTATCAATCGCGCAGGTTTTGACTGTGATTTCGCAGAAGCAAAAATCGGCGCTTAGAGAAGCTTATAAGAAGAAGAAATTCCTTCCTTTGGATCTCCGTCCCAAGAAGACTCGTGCCATTCGTCGCCGCCTTACTAAACACCAGGTTTATTCAAATTTTGATTTTTTTAATTTTCTAATTGAAATATTTGTAATTTTGGTGGCTAAATATTGTGTTTATACGCAAAGAATGATGGTATGATGATGTGGCTTCTATCAAGACTGTAAATGAAAACCCAGAAAAGAAAGCTGTGAAGAAGGAAGAAATGTTGAGAGAATAAGGAAAAGAGAATTTCAGAATTTCTTGAAATGTTTATTGTGAATCCTGTAACTGCCTCTGTAACGGAAACTAACAGAAATAGCAGAATAACAGACTATAACAGAAATAACAGATATAAGAAAAGTCAACTCTTTTGACTACAACACTCCCACTCGTAACATATGATGAATTCGTGATGTTAAGATTTTAACTTTTGTAAAGTAAGTTTTGTTAATGGTGGCTGGCTTGGTTTATGGTGGCATTCAAAATAATGTATATAGGTTTAGTAGCTTGGCGTCTTTGAATTTTGCATTGGATAATTGGTAGCCAACAATGGAGGGATTGGAGAATGGCTGAGCATAGGATGAAATAGAGGCATCTCTGTTAAATGTCATGTAATATTAGTTTATCTATTTAACGGAATGGGTGTGGCCATTTGGTTGATATTTTTGTAGTTGTAAGAAATCTTGTTGTAGGAGCAAAGGTTCTTGGCATGGATCAGTTGCATTAGGAAGTACATATTTGAAGGATATTCTTGGTCTGCTAGTTAAGGATCCGACTTTTAATGTTGAGCTAATACCTGAATTGCGTACCACAGTGGAACTCATTTAACCAGACTATAGTAGTTAGAGTCTTTAAGATTTGTTAGCAACTAAGCCTAGGCAATGCTCTATGGCTTTGGCATAATTATGGATGTATGTTGATGTTATATTTAAATTTGAAAGGACTGTGGTATGGAGTGCTTGGTTGTTTCTGTTTTTGTTCTTCCTGCTTTGTACTTATTGAGGGCAATAATCTATCGGAAAGACCCGACTTTATGTTAGTTTTGATACTTATTCTGGAGTTTAGCAAAACTCATTCTTTTTTTTTACCCTTTGCCAAGCTACATTCATAGGACCTCTTGCATTCTTTCCAACAACATTCTAATGCACTAGTTTGTCTCTCTGGCTCTTAATGCAGGCATCTTTGAAGACCGAGCGAGAAAAGAAGAGGGAGATGTATTTCCCATTAAGGAAATATGCCATCAAAGTGTAACGGAGCTGAGCCTTTTTTTTTTTTGGCTTCTTTCAAAGTCAAAAAAGTTTTGAATTATGGCTTAGATGCTACCATATGAGCATAATTTTGCCCCTTAATCAGTGCTATTGGAACATCTATTTGAGCACTTATAATTTCTCATTTCTAAATGCATTGAACTTCTTTATGCATACTTTATTTTGAACAGTTCCCCCACCTTCTCCCTTCTCCCTTCTCCCTTCTCCATCCCCATTTTCATGGTCACCCCTTCGAATGACTATGTGAGCAGCCTGTGCTCTTAGTAAAAGTGATTGAATAACCAAAACAATTAACCAATTAAGAATGTGAAAGAGGAAATGGTGGCCTATTTTTTGAGTTACAAGCTTAACGCTATAAGACGACAGGTCAGTTGAGTGAACCATGGACGGCATGTACGGAATCAGTTAAGACAGGCGGAAAATATATGGGCCTCGCCATTTCTCATTGGGGCTAACTATTCTCTCATTTTGAATTCCTGAAGGTGCCATTATTGGGCCACTATTGGTTTTCAATTTGGTAAACAAAAACAACTTAATCCAATCAATTTTGGCGACCACAGTGAGAGTTAAACGGTTGAACCCACGACCTTTTATCTGAAGTCCAAGTCAAAGGAGCTAATCAACGGCTTTTTGTGGTGTGATTAAGCTAACTTGTCAATTAAAAAACCAAGTAAAAACATTTTTGACACGGAAAATTGGAATTCTGTCTCCTGTATTTTAATGCTAAAAGAAATTTACGAATTTGAATTAATATCAGGTGAATTCGTCACAAAACGTCATTCGATTACAATGGGATTCGTTCAAACTATGAACCATGAACCTTGACCTTCAAATTAACAACAAATGGGAATATGGGATACCCAAATTTTCTTGGATACATTTTTCAAATCGTGGTCCTGTTTGCCAGTAATTCAACAATGTCAAGCATCCATTTGTTAACTCATGATAATATAAACACATCAAATCTATCTTTTGGTCTTTAGTCATTTTGGAGAAAAATGAATATAGAACTTTGGTACGAAATATTTACCGTTGAAACTCATCTCCTTTCCTTTTAGACTTTAGCTGTGTCATTGTTGTTACAACGAACGTACTTTTGTTTTTTCTTTTTATGACAGCCCATATTTTGGGACTCTTTATGAAACAATCATAGACAACGAACGTACTTTTGTTTTTTCTTTTTATGACAGCTCATATTTTGGGACTCTTTATGAAACAATTATAGACTTGTACCAAATCATCTTCAGCTTATTTGCTCTTCTATTCATTCATCCAAGACAGAAAAAAAAAAAATCAATTTTTGGGTTCAAAGGACTCAAGACAAGAAAATGGGTTGTGAATATTAATATTTAAATTTAAATTTGATGAATGCCATTTTTTAAAAATAATTTTTTGAATTAAATTTTAAATTAAAAAAATCTAAATTGGAATGTACATACATATGTAGAGAGAGAAAAAAAAAATTTTTTTTGCCAATGAGAAAAGAGGGATTGAAATCCTACATTTGAACAAGAATCATTCATCACCTATTCAATCAAATGCTTGAAAAAAAAATTGATAAAAATGAGACTTCACATCCAATTATCCAAGTGAGCTGATGTATCATAAATTACTAGTCTAAACTTAAAAAGCATGAGCAGACAAAAAGCAAACAAAAACAAAAGTTCCTTTCAGATTTGGAGGAAAAAACAATCTCAGTTTCTCCTGCAATACGCTCGTGCATGAACCGTACGTAAGACCATATCAGCTAATGTCTCTGTCAGTGGGATCATTTCGATCTACGTGTATGGAATAGTCTAAGAGTTTGTTCGTTTTACGCAAACTCTAACGTGTTGGAAATTGCACATACATGGGAACCTAAACAAGTATGGTCTTAAAAACATTTTACTCAAACCTTTCCTTTAGGACAAATACACGTACGGAGCCTTGCCTGCTGTCATAATCTACCCGTCAAATATAAATAAATCCAGAGAAATAATTTAGTAATTTTGCTTTTTCAATATTCGAGACTATGGAAATTGAATATTGGATATTGAATACTCTATTATGAATATATCATAGTAATTATTGTTGATAAATGATTAATAATTTTGAGAGGAAACTCAATAAAAAATGAGATTAATAAAATTATTAAAATTTTGTAAATTTGAGATTTAAATCTCCTTATTTATAATTTTTATTTTTAAATTATGAATTTTTTTATATAAAAAAAGTAATTTTCCATGCAACTATAAGCCTTCCAAATGTGTACATGAATTTTATGAATGAACACTACAAGTATGCATTTAAATTCAATGAATGAATAATTTCATGAATGATCTTTAAGAGAATAATTGTGACTAAATACATGAATTCATACACAAAATGGACATTGAAACTTCGTGCATCCATGATTTCTTTCGCACAAACCGTATTCTTAATGAGAGACGTCATCATTCGGTAGTTGAATTAAACTTGGAAGAAAAAAAATCTAGCAATTAATTTTGTAATCAATCTATTATTGACGATCGATCGAGGGCAATTTTCATGACAAGGACATGAATTTTCTTTTTGTCGTGATCGTAACGTGATTGCTGATCACTTTGTGGTGCCGGGCTCTTGACAACAATTAATGTTAGTTGATATTTGAGGCACAAAAACTAATCACTTAGTTGGGTTAACAACTTTCAATTTAATCACATCAGTGAAAGTGAAATTAAACAATAAATTAAATACATAAGATATAATAATTTAACGTGGTTCAGTTCAATCAACTTACGTTCACGGATGAGAAACAAGATTCACTAGTTGTAGAGAATTACAAACATACATCAAATCATTAACCTCACTCAATAATCAATACTCATAAGACATTCTCAATCTCCTCTAATTCTATGGAGTATTCTCAACCCAAACAAACACAAAATCAAACCCAAACCCTTGTGCATCCTTTCAACATAATCAAATGCATACTCATATGCTCCCATATATCATACCTATGTGGACCTTTTCAGTCTCCTCTAATCCATTCACAAATAAACATATACACCCATAAACTCCCATATATCATACTTATGTGAACCCTCTCAGTCTCCTCTAATCCATTCACAAACAAACATACACACCCATAAGACATAGAGCCCCAATACTCTTATAGGGTGTCTATCCCACAAAACACTACAACTTTCTTATATCTTTTTCTCATACCGAACTCTGTAGAGACTTCACCTATTTATAAATATACAAACTTGCCCATTAAGAATTCATTTCCTCCTAAAATTCTTCTTCTGTAAATCAAATTTGCCTATTAAGAATCTATTTCCTTTTAAAATTCTTCTCTTGCAAGTCAAACTTACCTATTAAGAATTATCTTTCTCTTAGAATTCTTCTTTTACAAGTCTTTTTGTCCACAAACAATATCTGACAAATCCCAAACAAATCTCTAACAAATCCTAAACAAATCTCTTATGAGATTTGAGTCAATATTCTCAATACGATCATGAAAAGTTGAATTAAGAATTATTTGGTTTTTTAGCAAAATTTTATGTGTTCATTATCATCATATATCAAAGTAATCTTTTTTTTTCTTATTCATTTAGACTGTTTATTTGTTTATTTGTTTAATTTGATTAGTGATTTATTTGTTTTGGTTGGACAAAAAATTTTACTTTATTTCTTTTATGGTTTCTGTTCGTCGTCTTAGTCCATATGTATTTATCTTTCATATTAAAAAGGCAACTTGAGTAATTAAAACCCGCCAAGAATTTAAAAAGCTATATAAATAACTTAAAAAATGTGTAGAGTAGTTATATATAGGCTTAAATATTAAAAAAAATCAACAAATTAAAATTAAATAATCATCCAAATTTTATTATTTTATTGAAATCAATTAAACTTTCAAATATCTATTTTTATCTAATTGAATTATTAATTAGACGAAAATTAGTTAATATCCATCATTAATTTTCGTCCAATTGATACGTCAATTAGATGAAATAAATATTTAATGGTAATAAAACAATAAAAATTTAGATAAATTTTTAATTTTAGTTCAGAATTATATATATATATATATATATATATTACAAATCTGATTTAGATGTTATTGTTTATATAAAAAGCTCATCGTTCAACTATTCTTGCTTCTGATATTTTGTCAAAATATATCAAAATCACACCAATATTTTACTAATTCATGTTATAATAATAATCCCATTAATCAACTACGAGAAAAGACACTTCCAGAAAACGGATAAATATATACAAATTGCTTAACATTTCTGATCTTGCGGTTAATTTGAATCTTGATTCATATATTTGAAATTGCAAACTTTATGAGTCATCATGTAACAAAAATATATTCATCATTCTATTGCTTACGCTATTCAAATCCTTTTCAAGATTAATGTTTAAGTTTCATTTGATAATGTGATGAAATCCAATAATAAAATGACATCACAAAATGATTAAAATATTTTTATTATGCCGTCAAATGAAGCCTTAATTAATTAAGAACCCATTAATGGCCGGCTTTTAAGTTTTTGGCAAGCTATATATACTTTGGCTACACAATTTCAATATATTTTAAAATTTTTAATGATGCAATTGTACAACAATTAAATTGGATTTATTCAATAAGAGAAAAAATATTTGTAGAAAACAATCAACGAAAAGCTTGAGGGAACGAACCATGGACGCCCCGACTTGACGACCAGCATTTAGTTTTTTTTTTAGTTAAAATTAAAAATGAAATTTTTTAGGTGAAATTTATGAAATTTGTTAAATATTCAAGTTAAAATCAATTGATTATAAGTGAAGGGGTTCAATTTAAATATAAAATTATAAAAAATTAAATATTTATTAGATGTGAAATAATATTATTTTAACATACTTCCGTTAAGTAATTGACTGTACATAGAAAAGTACACTTTGAATATAAAAATTATAAAAAAATAAATATTTATTTGATGTAGAATAAAATTATTTTAACAGGTCCCTATCAAGGCGGAGGTGAAAGTACAAAATACTTGTTACGTGATAAATTTGAAAAGGATAATAGAAAAAATTTTGATTTTGATATTATGTTAAGTATTCAACTTAAAACTATTTGATTATAAGTAAATGAGTCCAACTTAAATACAAAATTCCAAGAATTAAATATTTATTGTATATACAATAACGCCACTTAACAAAA